GTAAACTACTCTCTTGGTTGCGTTTTCTGGCAAAACTTTCTTTAACCCTTTACAGCCTAACATCAGTATGCATATTCTCCATACTGTTCTCTTTACAATTCCTGAGGGGCCAACAAGGAGAATTGGTTCAACGATCCTGAGCTTCTGTTGTTGTTAATCATTTCCATTATTCTCATGACCTTATTTTGTCATTCAGGGCTGATATTGTAAGGAAAAAGTAAATGCTAGTCACTCTTCAGGGTGAAAAAATTGACCAGTGAACTTCCTCTGCACATTCGCAACTGCACACTTGAATTAAAAGTAGATTTTCCCGTCCTAAAAGTTTGTACGTTGTGTCACGTCATCATTTCGAAACAGCTCTCTTAATCACAATTTCACATCTTGACTGTGGGTTTCTTGTGACTTGGCAAGAAATAGGAAATTTAGACACCATAAAACTATTATCTCCGCCACCAAAACTTTTTACACAGATAGGGCAGTGAACGCGTTACCCGATTCAACAGGTCTTCTTCACGCGAGGAGGTCTGCCTTTGAAAGTAGCAAAAGTTCAGACAATGTTTGTACTGTTAACCCTATGCACCCTACGATCAGTATGCATAATCTCTATACTGTTCTCTTCACCTTTCCAAAGGTCCTGACAAGGAGAATTTGTTAAACTGTCTAAAGCTTCCTTAACTGGTGATCAATTCCTTCATTCTCATGACCGTAATATTTGATTCAGGGATGATATCACAGGGAGAAATTAGATGCTAGTCATTCTTAGGAGTCAAAGAGTTAAGAGCTAGGCATGATGGGATCGTTGCTTGAGGTGCAAGCGTTTCGATTCCCGCCAAATGAGCTGAAGTCGGCGGCGGCCACTATGTCGAATATTCTGCTCATTTTAAGACAACTACCCAAAGAATACAATCCCCTTGGATGCTCCAACTGCGGTAAGCACTATATCTTTACTTTAAAATGACTGAGATAGAAATTATGCGGCTTCTGCAATAAATTTCTCTAACTTTCGCGCCTTCGCAAACTCCTTGGTCTTGGCTGAAACAAGCGTGCTGGAGTTTTGCTGACTCTCGTATCCAAAAAGAGTGGTAATAATCGTCAGTACGATTTCTATGTCTCTTGCGTACAGTTGAGGGGATAACGTGATGGCAAGATCTAACTGCTGTCCTATACCAAGGGCGAAATCTGGCTACCAGTCAACGTTACCAGACGTCAAGTTTTTTAGCTACAAAAAACACCAGGGTAATTTAGTATCATCACCTGAGTTGATAACGTAAATTGGCCACCGTAAGGAGTTTTAAGGCTGTTTCTCCACCGGCGGGAAAATATGAGACGCGTCGGGAAGAGATTTGCCGGAAGTCTGGCACTAATAATGTTATTTTCAGTGTAAAACTCGTTCCAGACCTCTTTCCTGCTTGCGTCGCTCACGGCCTCATACTTTCCCGCAGACGCAATAATAACGAGGAACTGCTCAAAAGTTCGTGAATATCACGTAATTTGGTTTCATTCACTGACTTAACAGTGGTAAATGCCTTGTTTAGTAACACATCAAAGAAGCGCTCGATGACTTTCGCACTAGAGTTTACAATACAATACAATATTCTTCATTTAACGAAGGTGACGTAATCAACCCAATGAGTTATCTAACTTACGGCCTTCAAAGCAGAACAAATACATATATAAAATAATGACTAATCAGCAAATCGACTTGCTACGAGAGTGACTAAAACTAGAAATTGTATGGTTTAACACAGATATAACATGATACAAACAATTACCTTCTAACACAACATTTCATCAACAAGTTTAAAAAACAACGGCATAGATGGTGAAATCACAAAATTTTCGAAAAACTTAAGTTCATCAAAACACAAACCCGATGATCCGATGGGCATTTTTCTTTTGCTGTTGTCCCAAACGCGGCTTTCTTTCAACATATTTCCTCAGCAAATGCTCTTGGACGTGATGAGGTAATAACTATTGGATACAAACAAATAAAATAGGACTTAATTCCAGAGTTCTTCATTTCCCGTTTTTAGAAAACAAATAATACTTAAATAAATAAATAGATAAATATATAAATAAATAAATAGAGGTTACATGACGAAGGCTGTTCGAGATATCTTCTTTTCATGTGGTGAAATAATATAATTATGATTATAGTAATGATAATATTAACAATAATTGTAATGATGATAATAATAATAATAATAATAATAATAATAAATAACAATAAAATTTTACACTCTAGAATTCCTTGTTAACTATGTGAACAGAAGACTCACAATTTCTCGAGCAAATTGTTTCTGGAAACTCTCAAAGAGATGAATCAAAATTGACTATCCTTTTTTATGAAAGAAATGTTACCAGACATCTGACCTCCCAATAATTCAACCAATTTCCTATTCCTTAGGAAATTCGAAAAATCGGGATTCTTCTCTATTTGACCAAACTGAGAAAGACTGTTTCTCAGCAACAGAGTTAATGTATGTCAAAGCGCCTGTTTTAAACCCATGCAAACGCATTTCACTTGCAATAAAGACGCGTTTTGAACGGGTTGAGGCGTGTTTCATCCGCACTGTTGACACCTTACACGTATAAGTAAACCCATTTCAAACGCATTAAATACGCATTTTCACTGCGTTTGCAACGCGTTCAATTTAAGTTAAATCTCACTTACCCACCCAGCCTTTACCACTCACAATCTGACCCTGTTTGTCTTCGCACTGATTACAACGCCTTCCGACCACATTATTCCCTCCCCTTCGGCCTCTAAGACAAGGGCACTCGCCATTCTCTGTAGCACACTGATCACCAGTACTACCAATCTCTTCACAGTCACATCTGAGACAGCCATCACTAAACACAGGGGCACCCCGAGAATGTGTAGCTTACAACCTTTCGATGGTGCTTTGCCTGGACAAAAACAAAATGAGAAAAATACTTTAAAAAAAGCACCG